ATTGAATATTTGCAAAAGAAATTTTTAAATACATTATTTTAAATACATTAGGAATATAAAATAATATTTGTACGCTGAAGAAGAGTGTAGGCTACAGTTGCCGAAAAATTGTCAAAGAAAAATTCATTACTGTTAAATTTAAGCTTCCCCGGTGACAGTTAAACTGGTGAAAACCTGGTATTTGGAGAAAGAGTGTCCTTGGGGGTCATTTAGTCCCCATGACAACGCCAGCCATCAAGTAATGCCGAAAACATTCACGCCACTTACCAATTTGTCTTCATTTCTTCGAGAAATCCATGGCTACTGCGATTGTTTTTTCAAGTGACGTCATCGTTATAAGAGCAGTGGAGCGACAATATTTGAATGTTATGCCATTTCGTTTCCAGGGAAAGACATCCCATTGTCTTCAAACCCCTCTTTCAGTTTGCTTTGTCCTTCACGCATTCAACTGTTCCCTTTTCCGCGAATAACAAAAAAGTCATAAAAATCTCTCAGGAGTCTGAAACTTTATCCTTCCTAAAAGAACTGGACAAATTTTTGTTTCTTCCGTCTGTGTATTTCTTTTTGTGTAGAAAAACAGATTTCGCGGCAGGACTTTTGTTAAAACATAACACCCACGTTCTGAAAAGACAGCGCATTGCTTGCAGTCAGTCCACAGACCTTTGGTTGCAATCCAGTCAATCGGCTGCCGCGGACAACGGTGATAAATAAATAAATCAGGCAAAATAGTCTCAGGTTCCTCTACAAGTCTTCAAGGAACACATCCAATTAAAGCTCATATCCTCATCCTCAATTTTCTTGTCCATTTCTACAACGGCTAAAGCGATGACTTTTGAGGATATTTCTATCCAAAGATAACCTCCCCAAGTTGAGAAGCATATCGCAATTTTGATTTCAATATTGATGTATATCAGTGATATTAAACGAATCGTTTTGGATTCAATTGCGATTTCAATCGCTGATTTAAATCAAGATGGTATAAACCGGCTAGCCCTTATGTAAATCGTTGTTTGGCAGGCAATTTGGGGCCTATTTACTGCCCCGAAATCCTTGTTCTGTGACCGTGTCTCTGACTAGATCAAAGAAGTTGCAGCTTGGTGGGAAGATAGCCAATTGGGCTCGTGCACGCGCACTGCGCACCGCACACCCGCGCAAACCATAATATTCAACAGCCTATCTATACAGAATGAAACATTGGCAACAGCTTCCCAAATCAAACCACTTGCTTGTTGCTATCAGAAATTCATTGACCTCTTTTATTTTTCATGGTTTTACGAATGCTTGCCTTATTCCGAGGATAGCGCCACCTTGTGCTTGAGTTCATTCGGGTGTAAAACATTGTGGGGACTAAATGTAAACTTTACCCTATCTCTTTAAATATTGATGATCATGATTTGGTTACACACTGTTCAGACTTGCCCATCAGAGTCCCGCCGAACCAAACAGTGTATCAGAAGCAGTCTGGGTCAATCGAAACATTGCTTTTTAACAAGTGTAGTTAATTAATAAAAGCGATTCACTATAAGATGCGCCGGGGCCCATCAAGAGAATGCCACGGGAAAGGCCGCTTTTCGAAGTGCATTGAAGGGAATGGTCGACAAATTCTATCTGCCGCCTGCACTCGAGGAACTTGATTTATTCGTGATACTTGTTTGGCAGGGCAGAAGATTTCAGGTATTTCGAGAGGCAGTTTTATTCTTTTTTTTCGTCCTATTGCTTGTATGATATTCTCATCTGTCAAAAATGTCCTCGGCACTAGTTGATGTTTTGCGCATGTGCGTCAGACCAGTCTCATTTCATAATCACGGCTTTGTCGCCGTATGAGGCTTCATCTCCGACGCACAAACCACTCAGAGTTGGTAAACTTGGTCATATTTGCCGTAATATTCACAATTACATACGCTTAGCTGGACACTTACCAAGTGGAATGGCTGTGATTAAATATTTCAGATGTGCTGAATCAAAATACATTATCTAAAATAACCATCTTGCCAATGATCTGTGAATCTTTAAGCTCCTCAAAGGGACAACGTACAATGTAGTTCAGCTACTCTTTTCCATGCATTACTGCTCCGGACACATTTTTGCTCCACTGCCTAATGGGTAATTTTCAGATCAGTGAATCTCTTGAATATTACGTATGGATGTGATAATTAATGGGTGCAGTTTCATTATTAGCCTCCGATTATGTCTTCTGATTTTGGCACTCCTGTCATTGAAAAGTTAATTGACGATTGTGACAGCATTATTGTTGATTGGCAGTTGACATATCTACAGTGTGGTCCCTGAGTAGAATTGGCTCATTTCCTCAATGACGTCTTTGACATTTTGCAGCTATATCTGTGGCATTGCAGTACATTGTAGTAGCAGCATTCTATTCCCATCGCGGCTAGCCCTCCCATTCAGCCAAACACCGAACAAATAACATGGAGCACCATTTACTTCAAGGTTTTCATTTCAAATTTCAATTTCAGTCTGTGCAACTACTTTCCTTGGTCATGGGTGGTCCCAAATGATGACATGATGTGTGTCGCTGACGCCAGCCTCAATGTCACATGCAGCCATACGTGCACATCAGTACTATCCGAAGCATGAGAAGCGTTACTCTTGAAAAAGTTGTGCAATCGAGTGAAAAACCTGACCCTAAAAAGACTGAGGCTCTTATGAAACCACTCAAAAGAGTGAAGTTTCCTCTCTGCCAAGGAACCATATGCAGGACAACTAAAAAAACCCAGCATATCCTTTATCAGTTTAAACAATGAGGCACCTCTGGTTTCGGCCGGAAGCAGCGGTCGCCTGAATTCCGTAAACGACAAAAGATCAAGACGTGGACCTAAATGTATATCACTTGCCGCATAGAGCAATATGAGGTACTTTACAGTTGATTTAATACGGATTTTTAAAAACATTTTTAAACATTAAGCGTTAAATCACACATTTTAATTGCTTGTAATTGACACCTGATGAAGTCATAATGACGTCATACTTTGGGATCAGGGTTGATGTTCATACCAATTAAAGGTTCAAGTTCGCGGCCTTGTAGCATGTAGAAAAAATGGTCCGGAAAATTATTGTCTGAAAAAGAGGAGAAGAAAGACGGAATCGAACGATTTCAAAACGGTGAATCGGTTGAGCCCAAACGCCTACAAAATGACCTGTCCGTGGTATCCTCTTGGTGGCGCACTGTATTGTGAATCTCCACTATTCAAGCCTTACAGCATATATACTGGCGACCCACCCCCACACACAGACAACTCGTTTCTTGCTCCTTTCTCGCTTCAGTTTGTGTGAGCATATGCCCATGAAATAAACATGAAAGCTGGCAAGCAAAACTAAGGCTATATTGATGAAAAAATCACGTATCGTACAGAAAAGGAGAAATAACCAAGGGTATAGGCTATAAAATGTTGTAAAGCTCTTGAGTGCTTCCAATGTGACGAGGCCCCCAGCGAGTTATGTCAGTCATTTTCACACTGTGGAACAGAATTTCAATGAATATCGCAGTCACATCATTCACAGGGCCTGCATTCCTTAATGTATGTTATGATAAGGCCACCGCGATGGTTGTGGAATTCTTTAGGTCACATTTCCTAATCACCACACTTTGGCACAAATTGCCTTGAGCTGAGATCGTGAAAAGAGCGACGTCAAAAACCAATTTAAAGCCTTTTCAGAGTTGTTCCGAATGACTGCAACCGTCACTCTTTCGACGTTCTGCACGGGTTGTCACCCTGAATCGTCTTCGTGCTTCAGCGCGACTGTTGAATACCGGTCTGAAACGAGACCAGTGAGTGTCCTTAATAGTCATCTTCTGATAGGCCTCGTCAACCCACCTTGATGGATGCATATGGGGTGTAAATCGCGGGAGAATCGGCGGTATTTATTCCCACGTTTTGACCGGAGGGGAAAGCTTAAGGGCTCTTGGATCACCCCCACTTTTTCGTGGTGAGAAAACAAGGCTAATTTTGAGGTATTTATCGACCTTCCAAAGAAACAAAAAGTATACAGTAGCATTTCAGCAGTACTGAAAAAGGGAGGGGTGCAAATTTATTGAAGCTTTCTTCAGTCCGCTGTTTGGATTTGGTATCCAGCTCCTCCTCCCCCCCCCCCGCAGCTTTCAGTCGAATTTCTACGGCTGGGCAATATCTTCATTTCAACCATCCCAATTCCCCAAGTTCCAATCGCAGAACTGTTGTACAGCAACTGATAGCTACGTCAGTACAAATACAGAAATAGAATTCACAAAGTGGTACAAAAATGACACAGCCATTAAAAAAGACCTCGCTCTTTATGGATCTAATGCCTATTTTAAGGCAACAACGGAAAAATTATACGTAGCATTTTAATAACGAACTAAAGGTAAAACTTTGCATAAGCTTTCGTAGCAACAACTACTTCATCAGATGCAATGAAGTGAACATCGTCAGGCAAGGTATCATTTTCCAGTGTTGTATCAGACTAACACAGCTACCAACCACTGTTTTCAGTATTTTAAGGCAAAACTGTTAATGCCAACCAATGGTGACCTTTCAAACGAACTCTGGCCACACATACGCAAAGGCCAACGGTGCTTTTAAACAAAGGCCATAAGATAAGGTTGGTTTAGTTTAATTCGACAACCAGGAGTAAGAAGCCATTACTTCGTTGGCACAACGCTCGTGGACAAGTAGTACGCGCGCCTTACATTCTTCTTCGTAAGTGAGAGGTCACTTCAGTTTAAACCACGTCCTCTGCACATAGAGTTACATGCGTTGATCGCAGTTTACATGGAACCGTGGAACCGGAAGTTTACGAACAACTTCAGCGATCGTCCAATGGGAACATGCCTTTGTGACGAAGCCACGAACCGGATAGGGTTTCGTGACTTGTCACATTTACGCTCGCGTCAAGCTGGAGAATGTGCTTGAGTGTGGTGCCACCGCGGGTATGGCGTCTAATCGGATTAGTCCGTAGGAAAACTTCACGTTCACCAATGTTTTACTTTATTTTCTCTGCCACAGACGTGTTCAGCATGTCGTGTCCTATCTTCATCTGACATCGTCCCGAACTTGGCACTGAACACCTGTTATTCAAGCTCGTGTGACCGAAGAAGCCTACAGCCAATGTACAATATCGACGTACAACACATGACAGTCTACTGCACAATCGTTAACCAGTTAAGCATGAAATGTCAATGTAGCTTGCTTCATTTATTGGCTGTCAAGGACGTCCATTTGACAAGCAAAACTGTGACTGCATATCCACAGCAGTAGGATATAACAATTAATCATCATCAGGGGCGGATCCAGGAATTTTGCCGGGGGTCAGACTTGTCAAATGTCTGGTTTTACGGTCAGCCGGACACCTAAATAATGCATTACAATATTATATTGATGCAATACCATAAGCAACCTTGTAGGATCTGATTTAATTTCATTTTTCATTTCATTTTATTTACTGGTTTTTTTTGGGGGGGGGTGTCAGAGCAGGGAGCTGACCCGGCCACCCCCACCCCAACTCCTGGATCCGCTCTAGACCGTGCTCGAGGACTGGATGGTGTTGATGGGACTTGGACAGCACACAATGTTCTCCCCAATTCGAGACAACGACAGACTTTATTTTTAAGTCATGTAGATGGAGAGAAATTAAGGATATGAGCCTCGATCTGGACCAAGAGAGGGCGCAATTTTCTGATCAACAGAGGCTCCTTTGGTCGGAACAGAACTTCGGTGGTTCACGAACGACTATGAAATGCACACGTTCCTGTCGCATCGCTACCAACAACATGAATACTCCCGACCAACATGGCTTTTTTCAACCGATGAGTGGATGCTTCTTCTCGAGATGGATATTATGCTGTTCTGTGCAGTTCCAACGGAAAACCCGATAGCGACTCGTATAATAGACCCGATATTTATTTAATATTTTTCGGAGTTGGTGTGATTTTATGATTGTTTAAATCTTATTCTGTAGCTGAAATATTTTCCAGATAATAAAATGGTTTCAGTTTGTTATTGTCAGTGCCTCTGTCCCGAGTTGACTCGTGGATGATACTCAGATGCACCCATAGGCTAGTGCAAACCTCCTTCCCATGGGTACGATCTGGCAGCGTCACGTTGAATCCCACAATGTCCCAGTTGCGCAATCGCATTGAAGGAACGCGCATGCAGTATATTTTTCTTTCTTGAGGCATGGCGGACACAAGGAGGGCGCTATTTGAAGAGGGTAAAATTTGGAGTGAACCATGACATCTAAGTATCTCTATGGGGTGACCTCAGAATTTTACCCAAACCTAATAGCGCCCTCCCATTTTGCTCGCCTTTCCTCAGATAGGCTAATATGGTTCACATTAAAAATCACTGCACTTTCAGGGGCACCCCTAAATCCTGATATTTCAAAATTATTTTTAAAATACAACTCTCACAGATATCCAAGCTGGACAGTAACATGATTGTCGACATGTCCGCTTTCATTTTCCTTTCAATTTTTAGTGGGTTGACCGATGAAATGTTGAGAAATTCTCACCCGAAGCGGACCACCCCTAAAATGAAGGAAATTTCACTGCCCGGAAAAGTAGCCATTTTGAAAATGCATCCCTCTGCGAGACGGCTTAAAAGTGCCATTTTGGGACCCGATTGTATCCAAATTGCTCAGAATTGGAAGCCCTGAGTCCGGCCCAGAGGTTCAGTGTCATATTTCTCTCAGGACCCTCTAATATAGAATATTTTGAGTGTATAACTTTTATTAATGAGCTCGATGGACACATTTCTGGCCTATTTCGTGGGTGCACCCTCCATACTCGAGTGCAAGATGATGAAGTAAGTCCTCTTAAAAATGTGCGCGCTTCAAGATTCCAAGTGTGGGGCATCGTGGGAGATGTTTGACGGGGGCTTGGCTCCAGCATTTGCCTCCCTCCCCGATGTATACGCCACTGAATTTTTTTTCCCAGGCTGGCCATGAATCTTTAGAACACCCTCTGTAACTTACAGAGGTTTTCACTCACGTGATTTTTGACGGTCAACGTTCAATACACACAGATTTGCTCAGAAATGCGCGCACCTTCGAAGTCTCTCAGCATAAAGAGGATTTTACACTGCACTAAATAAAAAAGTCTTTGCTTTCTCCCCTGGCGCTCGAGGTCGAAAGAGATTTTATTAATACGGGGCTCCTTTCCGACCATGTGCAATTAAATAGGTTTTGTACTTCAAGGTACTATGCACCATTCAGACAACGCTGAATCTCTGAACACGGTGAATTGTGGGTATGCGCCTCAGCCTGGATTAGGTTTGTTTCGCTACTGACGTCGTCGTGGATGGTAGCTTAACGTCTCGCACAATTTGTTTTATAGCTCACCTAGAACGGAACCCTACTGATTTCTTTTGCCCTCGTGCGCTTCGAACGAACGAAACTTTTGAAGTTTTCGTTTCCCTCTCCAAAAATTCCTCGAATCGCAGAAAGTAATACCTATAATGATTTTAAAGGGTTTTCCTAAGATGAAAGTGTGAAAATTGCAGAACCCGAGAGAGTTAAGAGAAAATGAAATATGTGCCCCAAGTGTATATTTTCAATGGGCCTCTCAAGTTTTTTGCCTTCACATGATATTTATGCGCATATGCACATAAACTAGAATTTATAGGTGAACTGGTCTATTCTGGCGTACATGGCATTTGAAATATGCAAATTCGAAAATACACGCGCTGCTGCATTAACCTCATTTTGAACCCAAAATGTTGTGCAATAAACGTCATTCACTTGCGTAATTCCCTCCCTCAGTTCACATATTTCATCCACAGTCAGAGACAGGAAAATAATATAGGGACGAGAACGAGTCTAACATTACACGAACGTTTGATTGGGTGGTGCTTCAGACACGAATCTGTTTGGCTCAAAAAGCGGACCAAGTTAATACGCGAGGACCGTTTATTTTTTTCTCCTTAACAGAGAAGGGTTTAGGGCAGGTATTGTTTAAAACCAATAATTATCTACGTTTCACATTCATGCAGCGGTAAAAATAGTTTCATACAGTGACAGGTGGAATGTTGTACTCCACTCAGATTCGCCTCGCTGAATAGAATCATTCATGTGTTACCTCATGAAATTATTCTTACTATTGCACTCTTCAACATGCATCCTTTATTTGTAAAATATAAAATGGTACATGTGGCGTTCCATAACGAAACCATTGAAGCGTAGATTTTTTTTTTCATCGAGCTAGTCAACGAGTTGTCATTGCCGTGTTTGCCAATCAAGTGGTTCATGTCAGCATAGGTGCAGGTATTGAAACCTGAAGCTTTTCATCTCTGAATAGGACACTCGATCGGGTGGTCACCGCAAAGGCTTGGTGAACGAAGACCTTGAGTCACACAAGCGTACTCCTATCTGTGAGTATTCGGAGGTCGGTCTGTTACAGGTTGGAGAGAACACTATTAAGCAAACGTACACTTCACGCTATGCAGAAATGAGGACAAAATGATTCACTATATCCTTGTCATAGCTTCGAGTCTTTCCCGATAGTTTTCTTCGATTTTGCCCTTGAACTGGTGTCTGTTTCTGCGATCGGGACCCGTCCAGTTTCCCACGATGAGAGAAAGGCAGCCAGAGAAGATAGAGCTTTTACGGGCCGAGCTATCGCCGTCGGCTACCAGGGAACGCGCCGCGGACACGGCGCAGGACGACAGCCAGCAACTACCAGTAAGTTTGAGTAATTGCGCTGTTGAAATTATAGGATCGTCTAATGAGAAGACTATTGAGGTTGGTTCACAGTAATTTGTCTGGGAAACTGCTCACCAAATTGGATACAAAATGTGAAGGTATACATGTACGTGTGTTTTTTAAAGGATAAATATATAACCTGACCCGCGACCGCCATCATGTAAAGGATTCTAGTTAATTTGTTTTGTGCATATGATGAACATCTGTTTTATTTTTCTGAGCTGGTAGTCAGCGTTTAATGTGTCGGCAACATACGCAGCAATCGGCGGCAAACTGACAAACTGTAGAGGATTAAAGGGGTCATTCCTGGGATTTTTCACGCACAGTGGTGATTAACATTCCCTTCCTCTTTTTTGTTATATTTTGGGTTTTTTTGTCTGCTTGTTTTCTGTATTCTTTTTTGGGGGGTGAAGAATCCAACCACGGTTGTAAATACCCTCATTCTGACGATATTGACGTTCATATAACTAGGGAGAGTTTTTCATTAATATTGGATTTTTGCCCTGCCCGACGTGTATTTTAACACTGTATGCTTAGTGTATGCCCCCGAAGGCTTGTGAAAAACCACAAGCGTGGTCGGGTGGGACTCGAACCCAAGACCTCCTGCTTACTTATGAAATTTTAGTGGGAGAAACTAGCGTTAAAATACACGGCGGGCAGGACAAAAGTCCAAAATTAATTTAAATCTCCCTGGGGCAAATCCTTCCTTGAAACAGAGAAGTTTTCAGGTGGGCACTTGCCAGGAGGATCCCTTATTTTCTGGAGATGAATACGTTAGAATCTGAATCATCTCAATCTGATAAGAGAGCGAAAGGGTAAAACTATGACCAGCGCGAACGACTTCCAGATGTTCATCGCTTTTCTTATTTCTGAACGATCAAGCTAAGGGCACATTGGGGCGCACAGGACTCAAGTGGGGGCGTGCCCCCCATGCTTCTTCCCAGGGGCGTAAATCCCATGGGGGTATATATTTTGTCGTGAGCAAAAATGAAAGCTGATTCTGGAGGATTTTTCCGACGTCCAAAGACTAAATAAAATGCATTCAATATCACTCAAAAAGGGTCAATAATTTTAAAAGCCCGAAAATATGCCATTATGAATACATTGCAGATGTGTATCAATATCATGAACATCGACCTCTGTATGGTGTCACCTCCTCCCCCGCTTTTCAAATTTTCATGGCCGGGCAAGTCATCCCCCACCTTTCTCCACCCCCCCACCCCCCATTTCTGGCACAAATTTTACTCCACTGTTTCTGTCCCTTAGTTTTGCCACCGGCGAACTGTCACGAACCTTGCTACAGTTTTACTGATTTTAAGAAAAAGGCAAATTGGAGGTTGAAAGCAATTATGGGGCTTTTGGAATCACACGATTTAGATTGGCATATTTCACAAAATCATTAATTTTACTTGCATTAAAAATACCTTCAAACTGACAGGAACTTGTGTTGCTTACCTTCTGGACAAGGCCATTTCAAGGCTCATGTAATTTCACCTTTGCTCTTAAAGTCTGTTTTTCATGGTTTCATCCAGGCGCATCGAAAGCTGCGAGTTCCAGTCGTTGTGTTCATAATCATAGGCAAGGTGATAGGTGGAGGCCTTGTCTGGTTCCCCAAAGCCTTGAGCAATACTGGTAAGATGGCGGCAGTTTAATGTCTGTGGTTGTTTTTGTCCGTTCTGTGCATTCACACCCGAATACGGTCGTTTCACAATAGTGCACCACCAAGAGTTTGCAACGCGTTGGCCAATCACAATGCCCGAAAGTTGTCGACCCAAAGCGCGTTTAGAACGGTCGACAAATTTCGAGCGTTGTGATTGGCCAACAACACGTATTCTAGGCATGCGTGCGAAGTTCTGAGCAGGCGCATTACTGTGGAGAAGGCCGGCAAACATTTCAAAATCCCCCGTTTATTATGGCTTAGAAACTGTTGAGGATTTGGACAAAGTGCATAGGATCAGGAGTTACATATAATTGACACAGGCAAGTAAAGGGCTTTCAATAACTGAGGCAGGTGGGATAACTGGATCTAGGCCAACTACCGGAATAATGTGGGGGGGTGTTTTGTTTGTGGCTTTGCGCCTTGACCTGTGCGATTTTTCCCCAAACCTTTTTTTTTCATGGACACTCCTACCAGCTTGTCTCTTTCCCGTTACATAAAGAAGAAGAGAATGTGGTGCACTATGCATTGCAGGAAATCTCCTTTTCGGGTGAAAGTGGTGAAATTAATAATTCCTGGTCAAAGGGTGAACAAAAGTCTATTCATGAACGAGTCGGTGACATCATGTGCAGCCTGCAGCAACCTCACATTTCGTCTGTGATAAAAGCAGCAGATCTTTGCTGACAAGGCCTACTACGTCTCGATATTCCGGCAGGTTGGGTGGGTTTCCTCGTCATGCTGATCGCCCTGGCAACGTCCACCTGCACCGGGGTGTTTCTGGCGCGATCCTGGCTGGTCCTCATGAATTGGTTTCCCGCCAAGTATCGGGACGAGATAAACAGATTCCCCTACCCGTCAATTGGCTACGAAACTTTTGGGGTCGTTGGAAGGTGAGTTTAGTGAAAAGCAGTCTTCTTTGAGGAGGATTTTACTTCTGGGTTAGACTGAACTTTGAGGATTTTTTATTTTTTATTTATTTATTTTTTTTTTGGTTGGTTTTCGTGAGAATAAATTATTTTTGTGTGTCTGTAGCTAGTGATCAAGCTAAATATGAAGGAAACTTTTCTATAATAACTGCTTACTGATCGTTGACACGTGTCGTTGAATTATTTATCCAAATACATGTACACGGGGCGGTCGCATTGCAAAAGTAGCGTTCCATTCTGCCAGTAGATGGAAGTTTAATTGCTCGGACACCTAGAAATTTCTGAAATCCTGGCTCATTCAAGGACACATGTGGCCATGGGTTCTTTCAGGATATGAGGGGATTTATTCAGACGTTGCGCAGATGAAACAGACGAAAGTTTCACATATAATGTGAAGAAATATAATGGAAGAAATAATGGCATTTGGCTTTGCTTTGTCAGATGGAACATTCCATCTGTCACTTTTCGAAGTTCATTCTGTTCATTGCACTCCTAAAGATTAATCATTTATGTAACAACTGAAAATTGGCCAGAAAAAGCGAGTTTAAGCATTTCATATTTTCTTTCTCTACTATTCACAAAAATACATTGCCAATAAAAAAAATCAAACGAAAACTGCCCAAGTTGCACATTTGGGTTGAATATATGTAATCTATAATACTTTAAGCTAGCAAGGATTGCCAAGTGATAATTGGTGTCCATATTGTTTTAGTCGTGTCTGTCATCGTGATTTATCCCCAGGCGGGTAACCTCTATCCTGGTGGGGATGTACGCGTTTGGCTTCACTGTGGCGCTCTATCTGGTAGCCGCGGACAGCCTGTCGCTCTTCTTTCACCTTCTCGATGTACGGCTCTCGCCATGTGTTTGGATACCCGTCGTTATTGCCGGTGCGGCACCCCTGCTGTGGTTTGGAACTCCAAAGGACATGGTGTAAGTTATGATCCCTTGTGTAAAGTCGGCGTTGTTTTTCTTTGGCACCTTGTCATCATCTCTGGGTCTTAATTGTCTGTAGACACCAAACATACCCACCCTCTACATGGCTTTCTTTTTTATGTTGTCGTCTAATACAGAACTCGACCCAAATTGAGCTGAGATTTCCAAAGTTGTAGACCCAGTTCCCAAAGATGGAAATGGAGCAGTAATTCGGGAAATTCCCTAAAAATATGCTGCCATCGTTCATTAATATGTTTCTCTCACCTTATATTCGGTACTTTTTTCCCATCACAGTGGCATTGGTATTGCCATGGGATTAGCAACGGTCATAAGCGCCCTGGGGCTCGTGGTAGGCTCGCTCTTGGACATCGGGGAGAACCCCGATCTGGACCCCGTCTCGCCCACCTTCTTCTCGATCTCTGGGGCACTGGGACTCATCCTGGGCGCTTTCGGGGGACAGTTTGTGTTCCCCACGCTCCAGCACGACATGAAGTGTCCGGCGGATATGCAGGTGTCTGGGATACTGGGCTATCTTTGTGAGTTGTAGAAACGTTTATTGTCTCCTACTTAATTGTTATTTTTCCCTTTTCTGTCTTTGTTTTGTGTTCGTTCATAAGGTCTTTTTTATTGCTGTTGTTTTTTGTTGTCTTGCTTTTTGTTTGCCTCTCTGTAAAGTTTGTTTCGTCCAGGGCTTTTTAGTACAAGCCTCCCGGCTTCTGAAAAAAGCCCCCATATTGGTTTCCCCCTTACCTATTTACATCTTGTTTTTGTTACTCTAATAATTTCTTGATTCATATATTTGTACTGTTATTGTTTACTTTTTCTGATCTTCATCAATATAGAAATAAACGTCATATTGATTGAATTGATTGAAATGTTGGCAAAGCGCTTGATAATCGCTTCCACTTGAGCGACCCTATAGTCGTTGTTTTCGCCGTCCAATAGCGGGTCAAGGTTCGTTAAATTTTAGAAACATAATGCAGAAGATGCTGTCCTGTAGTTTGGATCCACCGTTGTCGGATTCGAGCTGTTTTGCATCGTTTACCCGAGTTCGATCAGCGACTATATTGTTGACAGATCAATTTCGCTTGGTAACTCAGGCATTCAGTTATATCTTGGTCACTGGGCAGAATCAAACTTGGCTCCAGTCGATGAGGCTGACTGCTGCTTTTTGAGAAAGCGCGAGAAATCCTAGGCTGAAGTATTCGAGGGATCAAGGGCAATGCCAAGAGTTACTTAAGAATACACGTGTTCAATTTCCATCCCTTCCAAATACGTGTTGAATGAAAGTCCCCAAATTCAGCCCCGCTCCTAATTTTTTAAATTTCAATTTTGGCCTCCCAAAGAATTTGGTTCCAGATCTCAGATACAGAATTATTGTTGTTTCCATATCAGACGGGAGTGAACATTAAACACAAAACCAGTCCGTTTTTCGGTTAACTCGAAAGACTACATGTACATGCAATTTGCCAAAATTATTTTGCAGGAGACATTTCGTCATGTATATAAGTATGCCCTTAAAAAATGGTCAAAAATCCACCTGAGCTTTTAGGCATATACATGTACAATAATTATCCCCACAGTACATATCACAGCATAGGTTCTGCGTGGTACGGTAGAGTAAACCATGCATATCGAATTGGCATCGAATTGAAAAGGGTCATTTTAGACGCCTGACATTTCAACTATAAATATACAGACTTCGTCGTGTGCCCGGCAAACGGTTGGAAGCGCACTTAGGCCCTTTTGCTTCAGGAAGCATGATTACAGTAGAAAAAAATGTTCCCGGCTAAAGGGCATGAGAAACCCACACTATTCATTTAATACAAACGTATAAATTTCAAAAACAAGGACAAATTTTCCTTGAAGATAGACATAATTAAAGGACGTTCTACCCTTGCTCACTGAAAATTGTCACTATTCATTGACTAGATTTCGCCCGCGTAGGGCTTCGATTTAACCAAATTCTTTTGATATTTTCAATGCAGGTGTGGGTGTGACCTATTTTGCCATCGGCTTATCGGCTTTTCTCGTCTACGGGAATCTTTACAACGTCGTCGGGGCGGATAATGTGCTGGCCTTGCTGTCCAACAAGCCCATCAAGATCATCGTCATCTTCTTGTTGTCGTCACATTTGATGGTTGCTTCCGTCTTCATGAACAACCCCGTCTTTCAGGACCTGGAGGACTTCCTTCATATTCCTTACGGTGAGGATCGATCTGGAGGAAAACTGCTACTTTCGATTTTGTTATATTAGTCTTCTTTCATCTTCACATTTTGTGTACTTTTAGTCGCAAAATCATCTTTGCTCCTGCCAACCTGTCCTTGACTATAACCAAACGCGTTGGTCAAATTAAGTTTGAAGAACTAACACGAGAAAGTGTTAAATTTATCGCGTTGTGAAGTGGAAAAACTCATTGTTAGAGCGGGGACTCCGGCAGGTTGTACTGGCATATGATAGCGTTATTTTGAAACCGTTGTGATCAGCATTACTCAGATATAAAAGGTCAAGGAGATGCTTTTTATAAACTGTTCCGGCAGCCAGGTGAACCAGTTCAGTTTTTCAAAAGGGCAAAACCAATAAAGAACAGAGCATGTCGTGTGCGAGTCAGCATAAGGCCCGTACAAGTAGCGCAGTAAATACGTCAAGCACACATTAATGTGCAAAAGCATTGATCTCCATTATATAGACTCGATAGGACACCGCGCATTGTTGATGCACAAAATGCGCGGCCGATCAATGACGGCGCCTCAGGAGGATAATGTGATGCTGTATGCTGTGCATTTCTGGTCAACATAACCTTTTCCTCATGGGAGGATGGCTAAGCTCTCGGCCTCGCTCCCGAAAACAAGCCAAAAACAAAACCAGAAAATGCAAGAATAGGCCTATCATTTCCGGAAATAACTGACCATTTTCTTATTAACTAACCCACTCGAAAGCGATAATGTTAACCTGTTTTTGTGTGTGTTTGCTTATAATTCATTTTTTACACCTATTGTCTTCGGTCTCACTTTAGCAATATTTTCGCTTTGGGTCGGTTCAATCGTGGTTTGTTCAGTGTGTAAAACTTTGCGAATTCCACCAGGACATGCAATAGGTTTTGTACGTCAGTAAACATGATGTCTAAACTGTCCATTTATTTTTCCGTCCGGTTTCGATGAGCCAACACTGAAATAATCATCAATAAAATGATTGTTATTTTTCACACTCTCAGGAAAAATTGCACTAAATAAAATTCATTCAAATATTGATTAAATTGTATAGAAAACCGACATGAGGCATACGAAAGTGTGATAATCTTTTCTGTGAGCACAAAGTGAGTGCAGCTTGAAATGAGCGACCAAACTAACTTACTGCCGTTTTAAAACAGACACTTGTTAATCAGCTTAAAAAGTTGAATTCACAACCTGACTTAAAGATTTACATTTAACAACTACTTTCCAGCATAAAAGAGCCAGTTTTAACTGAGAACGAATAATTTTCTTATGTAGACAAAGTTTCTCTCATTGCGTTAACTTGGAACTCCCTTGATTGTAACTTCATTAACAGAAGCGTCAGCACTCTGCTTCTCACTCTCGTTTCATCTCGTTTCATCGTTTCATCGAAGAAGAATTCTGTCACTCATATCACATCGTCGGTCACACGATTTGGGTTCAGTGCGTCTGTAGATCCGACAAACACAAATCCTGGCGAGATTTTTCCGGTGAAATCTGGGGGGAAAAATAAGAAAATTAGTCATTCAGTTTTTGAAACCACTTTTACCAATAAATAACATTTCAGACGGTACCAACTTCGAGATAGTGAAGGTTTATAATACAAAGCCTGATAGGCTACAGATAGACTGTCATAAATTTCTTACTAGGCCTACATAGGCTTAAAGTTAAGCATTATAAAGTTCAACTTGAGAAACTTTCTGAAACTAAAAAAAGTGCGACTCACATTTCCTTCTGTTCCGTCTTCCAAACTTGACGTCAATCTCCGGTAATTCACTGCTGCGTACACCTCAATCATTATTCTTTCCAAATTTATCCATTCCAAGAGTAGAATTCAGTTTTTCTTCAAAATCTGACGATTAAAGCACGAAAACCTTACTTAACTGGTTTTTGAAACTCCATTTGAAAGTACACAAAATAAAATTCGCAACGCTTGTTATTTACCCTCCTGAAAACACGCATAGGGCCTACGCGGGACGCGTTTTGGACGCGATTTCCTATCCAGTCTGTGTCATGGATTTCAATGGCAAAAAGCTTTAGCGCGAGAACCAGCGCGTGATCGCACACGACACGTACTCTAGTCGTTTGTACTTCCTCGTTCAAAATGACGTAACAATTCGGTGCTTTATGGAGTACCATAAAACTTTCGCTGTACTTTTTCGTAAGGTCAAATTTGCTTCAACTTCACCTGAAGTATGAACCGGCCTTAATTTTTGTATGCAGTGGGACTGGTTTAAAACTGAAGTGACGTCACACTTACGAACCGGGTTGTGATTTGCCAAATTAACGCATACCTTATACGTGTACTGTAAAACGCGCGCACAGTTGTGACGCCCATTTCCCCCACCATATCTTGTGCCTAGAATGGGTTCATAACGTCAATAAAATAAGATTTTCGGCTAACAGCCAGTCGGAATCTACTGTAACTGTTCCTGCCGTATGTGGGCTTAGATAAGGGTGATCCTTGAAAATTGTTCGTTTTTTGCCTTGTTCTTTGGCCCAGAAATAAGTTGGCAAAGGATAGTGCTACGCTCTGTCTACTCGGCATTGGTGCTCTTCGTGGCCGTTTCCTTGCCCAGTTTCCCGGTTTACTTATCGGTCGTTGGGGGCGCCCTGTCCGCCACCGTCAATGGAATTCTTCCGACTGTTTTATACTTCAGACTGTGCAGCATGGAGCCGCCAGTCGGGGCTACACCAGAGTAAGTTGTTTTCACCTGCTGATTCAAATGCATTGCCTCACTTGCGAACCAGGGTTCTTTCAGGCCCTTGTGTCCGAACCTGACAATATGGCCTCTTTGAATCAGTGATATTGGCTTGCTGGACGGTAAAAAATTGCAATACAGGCGATTCACAATAATCAATAGCGCGTCTGCACCTCCAAGTAAGAGTTTGCAACGTGTTGACCAATCACAATGCGTGAAATCTGTCGACCCAATCCGTGTTTGGGAAATGGTCGACAGATTTCGCAGACTGTGATTGGTCAAGCACACGTTGCAAACTCTTGGAGGTGCACTATTATGAATCGCCCGTATGAAAATATATACTATAGCGAACTTAAGGTTTAATTCGACAGCCAGAACAAAAAGCAATTCCTGCAGTGGCACAATGCCCGTGGACAGGTAATACGCGTGTTACATACCTCTTCGATCAATAGGGTGTCTTGATTTGCCAACATGCACGCGCACGTCAAGCTGGGAATGTGCGCGTGAATGCAATGCCCCCGCAGTTAGGGTGCCTAAAACCGGTCCAATCAGAAGACGTCAAAGTACGAGGTGACCAGACGGTTTTCCCGAGTATGACCATTATTTCAGTCAGCAAGTGCTTGTTGAGCAACCGTATACGTCATACATTGGAAAGCGAGGTTCATTTTTATAATTCTTTTTCGTATATTCACCCATGCAGGGGGCCCTTAAGATGGCGTCGAATCCTCCTCATCGCCACTGTCTTTTTGGTATGTATGTCGGGGGCAGTTTTGTCGACAGTCTCAGGCATTTACAACGTTCTACAGAACAGCCACAATATGACTTTACCTTGCTACATGCAACGTTAAGTGCACATTCAGCAAAATGCTGCTTTTAAAGACTTTGAAGGGTTTAATTGTAAGGAGGATCTGACGTCGGCGAGTTGACAATCAAGCGACAACGTGCAGCAGTACTCTCCTCAATTTTTCAAGAATAAATGCCATACAAAGGTCAACATATAAGACATACCACCAAAAAGTCTGTCGTTTTAATATTCACTGACACAAAATTAATGATCAGTGGCATCCACGTTTTATGTCAAATACGAACTTGTTAAGGCCGCCAAAGAACTGGTTTTCCAGTAAGTTTAGAATGATGTGTGCTTTTACATGCAAATTTAGGATTACTAAAGTGAACAGTAACCCTCGGCGCATTATTCCACACCCTTGGTCTTTCTGAAAAAGTACCAAACTTTGACATTTTGCAAAATTTACTCGTGCTAAACTTGACAGTAAAGGCATTACTCCTCTCATGCCTTTGAATAGTCAGAATGTAACAAAAGTAGTATTTACGCTTATTCTTAACTTAATTATAGTTAATCTAATATATTATATTATCTACAATGAATCATGCATCTGAAAGATCGTGAGTACACTGACCCTTGTATAGGGATAAGATAATGCCTTCTGAAATTTGTTATTCTCCTTAAAGTAGAGAGTCGAAAAATTATTATAACTACATGTAAAAAAATGAATTAAAAAAAAACTGGAAAAGATTGGACAAAAGACAAAAGATTGAAGGAAACGTCCCAAAACCAACGACTTCATGTTAACAGATTGGAAGAATATAAACCAAAGTTTGGAAAAAATATTAAGATATAACAAATCACACATTTCAAATTATTCAAAATATGAAACTGGACTTATATGAAATATGAAACTTATTTTTACTTTCTTTCTTTCTGTTAGAAGTTGGAGTTGTCACATAGTCTTCAGGGATCACGAATGCTACGGACCTTAACACTTAGAGAGCAGAAAATTGTTCTAAGTTGTAATCGCTTATCCTACCACTTTGCCATACTGTGAATTACTAATTTAAGAAATTGATTCATTACGTCATCGTGGAGAACAACTGGTCTTAAAGCTTGCAAAATCGTCACTTGTATCTGACAGGCATCGCAATATTTCTTGCCACCTCAGAGTAACTTATATTTCTCCCAACATACTCACAGGAATTCGTGCTAATTGGAACAGTTGAAAATAAGGACTCTCGGGTACGAAACTTCACCAATTCTGTCAATGATTTGCTTATTAAACTGATTTATGTTTTTAATAGCTATATTTTATTGTTTTGTTTTGTTTGTTTGTTTGTCTTTTTTTGTTTTATGACTTTTTATGTAAACCGAAGTGTATAAGTCCTTGGACTTCTTCTTTGGTGGTGTTTTACAATAAACCTGATTTGAAGTTGAATTTGGAAAGGTCACCTCACTTTCAATTCCAGATGACCAGCACATGGATACAGTTTATTAAAGTAGAAATCTGTGCCAACTCATTCTTCCTCTTTTAAAGTAGGCCTAAAAGAGATAGGAATCTTCTTCCAAAATAAATCATCGATATCCCGTCACATTAGATTCTTAGAACACTATTTCAAAATCTCATCTTAGATCCAAACTGAACCTTGGCTACTCTCATTTTTGAAACCTCAAAGTTTTCGGGAGAAAAACAACGAAGTATTAATAGGGTTTATGTTGGGAGGTGGGCATGTCCCGACCTTGGGTCGTGTAAGTTCGCAAAGAGGGCGCCCTTCCGCAATGCGCCTGCTCAGTCGAGTCTGCATCTGCCAGCACGCATTCCCATCGTGCATCTGGCGATATCTTCTTCTTGCAGAACCTGTTGACCCCAGCCTCGACAGTAAGAACCAGTGGGCTGACGATTGTTGCAATGGCCACAACCAGGAATACGTTATCGTAGTTGTTAGTCTGGTCGTAAATGTAGCCTGAATGAAAAAAAAATTATAACAAAATAGAAAAAACGTTCAATATCATAAATGTTATTGTTATAACTGACGAATTTACTTGCTATCTTCATTTTAAGTAACAGGTTAAATGATGGAAATTTCATAATTTTAAACATCCGTTTCACAAGCAGATTTATTTTGAAAAGAAAAGCCTAAAATTGCCCGGACTGGACGCACACGTCTTTTTACTGACAGAACAAATAATGATTTTTTTTTTTAATGCGAAGTGCTGATCCTTACTATATGGGAGTCAACTGCTTTTGGTGTAAATTATTTAATTACAAGCAACAGTTTTAGAAGACACCAAACAGAGACAGAACCGAAATACATGTAGTTTTATCTCCCTATCTTTGAATATGCCCTCGTGAATGATCTGATATCGCTGAAATATAAAACCCAAAATTCAGTACGATTGCCTACCTGGTACAAACCCAGCCAATAGTCTCACCACAGCGGAAGCAACACTCGCCCAAGCCAAGCTGTTTGCAAGCCGTTGGATCCCAGCTACTCTACGCATGACGACGAGGAATAAGGAATCAGAAATACCCATGCTCGTGCCCAACACAAACTGTCCAGCGGCCATGGCAGGAACCGTGACCATGCATCAAGTACGAGCACAGTGGCAGACACAAACATCGACAGGCCCACCCCAACTCTCCTGGAAACCACCTTACGGTCAATCAGGGGACCATTAAAAATCTTTCCCACTAGGCTCCGTATGCCGTTGATGGTACCCAATAGGGAGACCTCGAACTTACCGAAGCTCATGTCGATGGCGCGCGGCACAAAGTAAATTGTCCAAGCACTGTATGTGAATCGTACGCTGCAACAGATAATAACAACAAGGAAGGAGAACTCCTTAAAGAGAGACACATCAGATGCTTTCACAAACTTTTTCATTACCGAGTTGACTGTGGCAGCAGAACGTATAAGCGGCGATCTGACTGGCGATCTTCGTCGCTCGTCCCTGGTCTCGTCTCGCTGTTTTTTGGCCAAATGCATGCTTTCTCGCCTCCCATCATAATATGGCAATTGCCACCTTGAGAAAAATGGGCTACGTTAAGCCCCATTTATCGGGGGGCAGGGAGTAGACAGTAGCTTGTCCATCTTGGGTGCAAGAGGTCTGAGGTCTCTTTTAAGAACGATGATTTCATCGTCATTAAGAGGGTGGACAAGGCTGGCGCTACGGTGGTCTGGCGTCAAGATTTGTATGTCGCTGAAGTGGAACGTCAACTGTCTGACGTTACGCTAAGGTTGACCACGACCTTACACAAGAGTATCAAGAAATTGTTGCTAGCCCTGTCTGAGGTTTCATTGACTCTGGTGACCTCCCTCCTAACGCAACCAGATCTAAACTAGTCGTTCCCAATCCACGCACGGCAGTCTTCTATTTGCTACCCAAAATTCACAAATCCGGAAATCCAGGGCGTCCCATTGTGTCTGCTTGAGGTTGACCCACTGAATTGATATCCAACTTTCTTGACACCATTCTAACACCCATTATCAAAACGCTCCCTAGCTATGTCCAGGATACTAATCACGCTCTAAGCTTGTTTGACGAATTCACCATGGATCTGAAAACACTTTACACATCCATTCCCCACACGGGTGGTTTGGCTGCGCTCAAACACTATTTAGATCTTCGCCAGACTCAGGATCCTCCCACCACTCTGCTCCATCTGGCTGAATTGGTGCTCACGTTGAACAACTTCGCGTTCAACGGTGAGCACTACATTCAGACCAATTGTGTGGCTATGGGCACACGGATGGGACCAAGTTATACCTGTCTGTTTCTTGGCCACATCGAGGAGCAGATGCTGACCCAGTATCCGGCCGTGCAGCCCTACATCGATTGTATTGTTGGAGCTTTCACTAGTACGTGTGATGACATTGTGAATTTTGTAGCGTTTGCGGATGCTCTTCACTCAGCACTGCGCTACACGTGTGATGTGTCACATCACTGTGTTAACTTCCTCGACGAGCGCGTCCAGACCTGCGAGCAGAAACTTGGTACAGCCGTACCTTACAAACCCACAGATTCTTACAGCTAAATTTAGTACCAGTCGTCTCACCGCCTTAAATGTAAGACCTCCATCCCTTAAAACAAGTAAGCCTTCTTTGCCAAGACATATAGAGGGTGGCTTCCAAGCTGGGGGAAAAGGCTGGGGCCGTCTTCTGGGATCTCACTATTGCGTACCAGGCTGCATGGACTGCACGTGAAGCTCCTGGAGACCATCCCAGATAAGCACGGTATGGTGAATTCATTATGGAGATTCTCCGACACAGTGACCAACGAAGCAGGGTGAGGCAAGTCAAGAGCGGCGTTCCAGGGGCTCTGTGCAGGCTCAAATCGTTGTTAAATCTACATCTATTGGCGGCCAGCAACCCAGTCGAGGAAGTATGGTTATGCAGACGACGTGGCGAGGCTACTCATCGAACCACCCTGCAGTGAGAAGCAGTAGAGAACTGAGGGCCTCACCGAAGACATGGAGATCCTGTTAACGCGGCGCCTTGAGCTCAGTCTGGGTAAGACGATGTCATCGATGTTTCACCTGTACAAAAAGGAGCATCGCATGAGATAGCCTTGGTCAAAGCAGAGAGCGAGGACAAGGCGTTCGTCATTCGTCTCAGCGCAGCGCGCACCTGCCGCTCAAATCAAGGCGAAGAGCAACCTCACGCAGTCAAGAAATATGCAAATCAGCTGAACCAGGACAAGGTTCAGCTGATTTCGCCTTGATTTCGAGCGGCAGGTTGCGCGCTGCCGCCCTCTAGCTACGATGCGACGAATGACGAACGCCTTGACCAAATTAAGGCTATACCGACGTCGTGGTAGACCAAGCCTTCCGCGCCTGCAGTACAGTCCCAATTCGTTCCAACATACCTCAGTGTGAAGCTGGATAGAACGCTGACTTTCAAACAACACTTGGAAGACTTCAACGCCAAGACGACCGCCCCAGTCGCGTTGATACGCCATCTTGCGTTTCACTAGAAGAGGGATCCAAGATATGTCAAGGCGGTTTTCAAGTTCCCCAAAACGACTGTCAATTTTTGTCATTATTTAGACAAAAGAATCCCACAAATAAAAGTGGTAGGTCTATTACTGTTTCCAGAATACTGGCGCTCAAAAAACAACAACAACAAACAGAAAGAGGTCATGTCTCCACCCCCCCCCGTGAGCTGCATAGGCCTCCAAATAATGGAATGAAGATTCAAGGAGAGGTGTGGGCCTACTTAAAGAACACTTGCAGTCAAATTAAAGCCGGTAGTTACTTTTTAATTAATGCATAGATAGGGGTTCATCTTATTCTAACACTGATGAAATGTGACATGTGTATGAAGAAAGCTATACACTTTTTGACAATGTTCATCGCTAGCCTGCCAAAATGAATTCAGTATTAACTTTAGCTCCCCTCCCCCACAACACGGCGCAAACGCTGTTAGGGTTCTCCTCTTGGCTGACAATAGAGGGCGTAAATAAAAAATGAAATTGTTTACTGGTACCATGGCTGCTGCGCTTCTGCGCGCGCTGCACGTCGCGTCGGTACGGTAAATAAGTCCTGTCACTTGTCACGCCGGCGTCATGGAAAGTGACCTTGGTAATTATGTCATGTATTTATGATGATTTGACGTTTCTGGATTATGACCAGGCATCTATCCAGTTGCTGAAGCTCAGAACCATAAGTTACATGGTTAACTAAGTATGTTTTTCATGCTGGTTATTTGTAGTGCTCACCACTGGCTCGGCGGCAATGCACTAGAATTCTAGTCCCCGACTCCCGGGCCTACTATACTTTGAGAACTCAAACTCACTACTCCGTCGTTAGTATGTGTGTGACTCTGAACCAGTGCAGTTTATATGGTGCCGTAACGGTATGGCGTTTTGCAATCGATCTTGTTAGGTGGTGGAGCAAGGCTAGCCTACATGTATTTAATCAAATTTTCCCGTGACTGAGAGCACACTTGAGTAGCTGTACTGAGTGCAGCGTAAGTAATAGTAGGTCCTAATATTACTCTTTTTATTATTTTGGACGGGATCACATCCAAAATCATAAAAAGAGGAATACTAACCCTCCACTCAGTGGAGCAACTTGTAAGCAGTGTACACATGTAGGCCTACATGTACACATACATGTAGGTACATGTATGTGTAATGAAATTGTGAAGTTTTAACAATATTAACCAAATATGTCACATTTGAAAGAGCGTGAAAAATACTTCAGAATGATGTACAATGTATTATTTGTTGGTACTGGGCGAGTATTAATGGAGATATGATTTTTTTTTAGATTTTAAACCAATTTTTTTTCTCCTCCAAAAATAAAGAAACTACTGAGACCCCAAAATGCTTCAATTCTGTTAAGCAGCAATTTGGCAATTTTACCAGTTTCTCTGATGCTTTGTAATAGGTAGTATAGATATTTCATACTCCATCGTTGAAGCATCATGCTGCAACTGTACCACCAATGCATTAACAACAAATTAACCGTTTGATTAATCTTTGTTAATAGGGTGTAATTACATGTAATATGAATTTCCTACTGGGATATCACTTTTTTTGGTACTTACATGTAGGCATCACTGTTTTTGTCAGATTTGTATCGTGTTGCAACTGTACAGACAATGCAAATTTAAAGAAATTAACCAACGTGACAAACTAAAATGAAGCCAGTAAAATCCATGGTCATCCGCTTTGCAATTGGGTATTTCTTCGTAACAAATATTGAATGAAGACTGGGCATAGTTACACATCCAAATGTATTTTGGTTCTGATCATTAGCTACATGTCTTTTAAAAGCATATCGCACAAATCGTGCTCACCTCATGGCTGGCATGTTTTGTTGGCCAAGCGCTACCATTACTTTTACGGATTGCAGAAAAAAATATGCGACGCAGTGACTGAACAAATTTCCACAGAAATTGCCACAAATGTAGATTAATATAAGTAGATTCCATAATTCAGGGTTTTATTAGTAAACAACCCTTCTTTCGAGAAAATAATCGATGACATTCACAAGCGTAGTTTTCAGGTGATGACTTTTGAAGCTTCTGAAGGTCACACAAAACCAAAACCAATTTATAAGCAAGCAAGCAATAGCCAATAACCCAGAGGCTCTGTTGCCCAATTGATTCAGAGAGGGTCCACGCAGTAGCAACGAAAAGAGTGCCCTCTTTTCCCCGCGATTTCACGTACATGTAGTTACAGCATAGGCCAAGCTCTTAAAAAAGGAGGGAACAATTTTTCAAAGTATGAGACCAAGTATTTTTTTTTTTAAATAAGATTTTTACTCACCAATCTCTCGCTTCCACCTGCCGACGATCGCTCCGTTCATGCTGAAAGTGTTTATCAGATTGCACATGCGTTGTGAGCCCACCAATGGCCGCGCTTGCGACCGTCCTAGGTGGACCATTTTCGGTGGTGGGAGTAGGCCTAGCTTGTTTTTATTACATGACCGCCATCAGAACATGTAACATGTGACTCTGTTGCAAGGGCCCCCGCCTTCGAAAATAGTCGAACCCAGATGTGGAGCAGGTGCAGCCATTGGTGGGCTCAACGCATGTGTAATCTGATAAACACTGTCAGCATGAACAGAGCAATCGTCGGTGAGTGGAAGCAAGAGATTGGTGAGTAAAAATCTCCCTTTTTGTTTTCAAAAAATACATGTATTAGTACTCATGCTGTAAAACCGTGTTCCCTAATTTTTTTAAGGGCTATAGGTTACTCAAGTGTGCTGTCAGTGGAAAATGTGATTGAATAGCTTTGTTCCACCCGTTGATCATTTAAAGGTCAAAATCAATACCGGGTGGTTTTGGAGGAAATTGGAAGATTCAAGATGAATGCAGTTTTTGAAGTTGGGCAATTAGAGGAGTTTGGAGGATTGAGGATGTGCCCTAGTAAGAAGGCCCTAGTGGGTTATGGTTAAGTAAACAGAGACCGTTATGACCTGTGTAAACAGAAATAGCTGTAGACAACTATCTCAGACCAGTGACTTGCAGTTCCTCAGCCTTACTTGCTGGGCTACATGCACATGTATTATAGGTCACTTAATAGGCCTACCCCCAGAACTTTGGGAATTTGTCGTCTGCTGAGGAGCACGGTGGATGACTAACCCCACTGCTCTTGGGGGTAGGTTGGTAGCAGGAAGGAAGGCCGGCATGACTTTGGCCTTTCTGTATTTTAATAGAGGTACCTGTATGCAAGCAGCTGGTGAACATCATGAGGATGTGTTTGACTTGCTCACTTGCTATACATGTATACATGTACATGTGTACCGGCATGACTTACATGTACATACAGAACAGGAAGTTGTCACTTGACTTTATTTGTTGGGAATCTTGAGCTAGTTTGGAACTTGATTAAAGAACTTTAAGGTTTTCACAAACCTTACATTACACATGCAGCTATGTACAGCGCAATAAATAGGAAAGCTTCCGTTATTTCAGTGACGCTGACTTATCGGTACTCTGCCATATTAATTTTGCAACAGGATTTCCTACATGTATTCTTTCTTAAGGAAGTCAGATGTCTGCTAGGGAGGTTTATTCACTTTAATATGTACTTGTATCTCACCAAAACGGTGAAATTGACCAAGTATTTTGCTCATCCACACCACAGAAGGGCAAAGGCACTGTTGTCAGCAGCATGACAGCTTGACCACTTGCAGCGCAGCTCCTATCTTTTTCTTGTTGTTCTCTTGTCACTCGCAAAATGAAAACCCTGCTCTTATTCGTCACTGGCAGAGATGTGGTTAGGCAGATCACAGTGCTCGAGTGACTGGATTATTTTCATGGCATCTTCTTCCCTAGAATTTCTTCAGAAAGATAAAAGATTCTTTGAAAATTCAATGAATATTAACATCGTACCGATAGGATACAGAAGTAAAAATGAGTTTTTCATGTTGACAAGACACAACTTGTTATTTCCTTTAACCCAACTAGAGACCGTCTGACAGTAACTTAGTAAGTCTATGATACTACAACAGTGTATTGGGCATATCCGCTCATGGATGCTCAGTAACAAACTTGTGCTTGACAGTAATATAAACTGAGTTCTTACTCATTGGAACACCTAAGTGCTCAGCTTTTGAGGATTACCATTAAATTAAGTTATCCACAGTTGTTGAGAATCTGAGTGTATTGTTTGATTTCCACCTTAGTGTGGTTTGACGTATATCAAACATTTGCAGAGTGGAGTTTTATCTTCTCTATAATCTTTGCCATATTTGAAAGACTTGAGCCAGACCAGCACTGTAACCTTGGTTCATGCATTTATCATTAGCAAGGTTGACTGTTGCAACCATCTGTTCTACAGATCGCCTGATTCCCAGATAAGGAAGCAACAAAAGGTTCAAAATACTTGTGCCGGACTCGTTCGTAATGGGAGACTTTGAGGTGCTTGGTGGTGACAAATATACCAGGTGACAGGTCCTTTTTACCAGTTCTGAGCATGCGCGCATTGTTCTGAGCATGCCCAATACCTTGTAAAAGGAATGGTATGACTACTGCCACCAGCATCTCAAAGTCTCCATTTTTGATATGTTACTGCCACCAGCATCTCAAAGTCTCCAGTTTTGACATGTTACTGCCACCAGCGTCTCAAATTCTCTAATTTTGACATGTACAGTGTACATGTTTGTAACCCCCCTCATTAGTCAAATTACTGTACATGGACATTAGTTGCCTAGTCAACAAAGAATTGCGTTGAACTTACTTCTGGTCACATGTACCTGTAAGACTAAGAGTGTAAGTTTACTGTTGGAGATATTCACTTGTTTGTTCTGCTCCCAGGCTTTGGAAAATAACTTATCGTTTCACGTAAGAAATGCAAAATCTGTTGATGAATTCGAAACTTTCTTACAAACTTGTCTTTTCGCGGAAGCTTTTCCTAACACTGCACACTGAGTCTAGGCGAGTAATGGAATTTGTGATACATTAGTGAGTCTGAGTATTAGTGTATGGTAAATGTACAATATAAATGTTATTGTTATTATTTGTGTTGCAACAAATTATAGTAGTTACTACAAGGAAAAGTGTCAGTCTTGTGACAAATGGTATGTCTTCAAGATTAAATCTCCATAACTTCTTAAATTTTGCTCAAGTTATCTTGACCTTTCTGATGTAACAAGCTAAGGGAAGAGACATGCAAGCAGAAAATAAGGGCAAAGATGTCACACTGTTGTACGCTTTAGTAAAAAAAGACCTATTTTCTTGCTTCTCTATGACCAGAAAGCAGATTGATTGTTTTCGCCAAAGTGCATTTTTCCACTTTTGGGCTTTTCTGTTTCCAGAGAAGCCGATCGTCCTCTCACCGACGGTCCAGAAATGAACATCTACATGTACTCAGCTGCCACCAAAATAGATGCTTGAACATTGTAACGATGTTTTTCTACTTTTCTGCCTTTGGATAGAGCAGATAGAACGTTTTTGTCACACAGATCCAAAACTCCACAGTAGGCATCTGCTACCAGAAAAGCAGATTAAATGCTCTGGACAAGTCTACTTGTTTACCATGTTTACAGTCAATAAAGTAGATCGAATGGTCTGTTCAAGGTGGTCTAAAAGTGGCCATCTGCTTTCAGCGGGCAGAAACTGAGCAGATCGAACGTTAAGCCTTGTCAGAGGTTTGCCTACTGCCATGGTACCCTCCAGAAATGGAACAGTTCCAAGCAACTCCACCCCCGTCATGTGTCATCAGGACATGCACAAATCTTCATATGTGCCACCTGGACTGAAGATCTTGGAATGCTGTCTTCAAAACTCTCTTGGTATGACATCATCCTGACTCATTTCTTGTCTCATCCAGCAAGGTGCCTTCTGTACATGTACAGTGTACAAGCCAAGCGTTTACAAGTTGCATTGTTATTGTAATGTTCTGATGGAGATTGATTGGATTCTGGTGGATTCGGCACAGCTGCCAGTACAGGTGGAGGCTATAAAGTTCCTCAGTCTTCTGTGTAAAATCCCAGTTGAAACTGTGTCCACCTTTGAGGGCAGCAGTTTCATTTGTATGAAATTGTGTTTGTTGAATTGTGCTTCCCGTTTTGGGACGTTTCAATGTTTGAAGACCTTCTGTTCTCATTTCTATTTATATTCAGAAACCGAAACTGAAGCTGTTGAAACAATTGTACATCAACCCTCCCCCCAACCCCCAAAAATCTGAAGCTACATGTATGTATGTATTTTATCACGAGCTTTTCCTCCTCCATTGCCCTGAATACAAGCGAGCCTTGCCAAATGTAGCCCAAAAAAAGGTTTACATGTACATGTACATGTATATTTGAAGTGGGTTGCAGTGTCCCAACAACGTGCAAGAGTAGTGCTTTGCTGTCTTTACGCATCAGTTGAGAAAGGATCTATGCAAACACTGGGACTATGCAAATACTATGACACAGGTGGAGTGACCGGTACTTGGAACCGTCCATTTTTTGGTAGATTGGTGTGTGTACATGGGAAGCCATTGAATATGCTCAGACTATGATGACAAGAGTTCAGTCCGGTTTCTTGACCGGAAGAACATCAAGCAAGTGGATTATCTCTGGACAGGGAAGAAAAAGAAAAAAAAGAAGTCCGCTTTCAGACTGCCAGGATGAAAACTTTCCATCCTCTCTCTGGGAGTGCAGAAAAGTAGAACAAATGAACGTGTTCAACATTTTCATGGAGCTTTTTTGGTAGTAGCAGAAATCATGTTTTTCACTATCACTGTGTGAAGGGTAACAAGTACATGTACCATAGATTTCTCTTAACAGAAAGAAGAACAAATGTTGTATGAATGTTACATACCCTACTGCGGTGCTCCATTTTAGTTTTCCATGGATGACATCGTAACTGGGGTCCGGACAACTCGACCGTTTGCCAACTCGACTTCGGACAACTCGACCGTTGAGACAACTTGACCGTCCATACGTAAAAGGAAGAGACAAGTCGCCCGTTGAGACAAGTCGTCCGTTGGGACAAGTCATCCGTTGCGGGACACTGTCCACTCGGCCCAGTCGTCTATTGAAGCCATACATGTATGCCTTAAGGATGGAATTTCATGTAGTAGATAGACAAGCTTAATTTCTGAGGAATGTATAAAAATGGTGGCTGTAGTAAGTCATTCTTTGCGCAGTCAACCGATCTTGCACCCGCGCTTCACCTATCTGGACCGTATGCATTACAGTCATAGCTTGAAATAAAAACCCACCTACCTGGTGTTGTCCTTCAGTTCTGCATTCTCAGACAAGTTTGGGTTTAAAGTGAAATGTAAACTTCTTCTTGAACAGAACTCTGATTCGCACTTTGACATTTTGGAACGGTAGGGAGAAAAAATGACGAATAGTCTAGGGCAATATAACGGTACATCACTCACTACGAGTGATCCCAAATCCTTTTTCTCATACTCAACAGTCATATAAATTCTTGCATCTCATGTCTGTTTAATCAAAATGACTTTCAATGTTGCGTTTTATTAAAACTGGCCCAAAACTGAAAGCATATTGTTTCCTAGTTTTGGATCACGCATTAAGTGCATGCGCTTAATGACCACATTTCACTGGAATTAGAGGATTTTTGTAGAGCTGCAATCTGACTGAATAATTTCGCGATCTTGAACTGGGAAACGACTGTATTATGTGAAGAGATCTCACTGGTCGAGTTGTCTCTCTGTCAAAGTCGAGTTGTCCTAACAGACGACTTCTCAAACGGTCAAGTTGTCTCAACGGTCGAGTTGTACAAAGTCGAGTTGGCAAACGGTCGAGTTGTCTGACATCCTCGTAACTGCACTACGCTGTTTTGTTTTTTTGTTTTTTTTTTATTTTTGGCATAAATTTTACATCAACCTGGATGGTGTTTATTAGTATCAAGCATTTGGCAGTATAGAGTACCGAAGTGAATACGTCACGTGCACAATTAGTGTGTAAAAGGCATTAGCGCGAAAACCAGCGCGTGAACCAACGCGCGCGTACTCCATTCATTTGCACTTCACTTTCTGGTTCACAGTGACGTCACACTTCGGTACTCAATTACAGTATTTGCTTTGTAGTGTACTGGTAATAAACAGAATTAGAAGCCGTTACCACGGTAGTACGCACATGTGGTCAGGTGGTGTGCGCTTGTGGTCAGGTGGTATGCGCTCATGGTCAGGTGGTATGCAAACATTACATGCCTCTTCAATCAGGTGTCATGATTTGCCAAATGCAGGTCCGCATCAAGCTGAAGAATGTCACACTTATGGCATCTAATTGGATTAGTCTATGCTTTGTTTCTGCAGACTGAGTTGATAATGAAAGCATGCAGTAGGGATTTGATTTGATGGGTCACAATGGACTCCAACAACCCTGAAGGCTTTGATTGGTTGGTCCGAGGGAAGACGACAAATCTCCCATCGCAAGACTCCAACGTGGTCCGCGTGTTCCTCAGCTCAACTTTCACAGGTGTGTGTTTGTTATAACATGCTTGAGATGCAGTCATTGAAGTGGGCTACCGTACATGTACCAATATAGATCTGTGTTTCACAGCCCCTTTCTGCCTGAACAATTTGTGTCCATGATATCAATTTCTGCTTCCAGTCTCCTCTCTGTGTTGCCAATGTAGCTCTGTGTTTCCATGGCAACCATTGATTGATTTGGTATTTTGGCTCTCATAGAATGAAACGTAATATTCATTGCAAATAAATAAGCAAGATACGTCTATTTGTTTTCTAGCACAGAGGGAAAGCATGGTGGACTAGTGAGTTTCAGCAAGTAATTATGCATCGTTTATTTTTTTTGTTAAGTATATGGAATGTTGAAATTTCTTGTAGAGGAAGTACAGAAATGATTGTCGGAAGGAAGATGAGATAAACTCGTAGCTGCTTGTTGACCCACTTTAGGGATCAGTTTTTCAAGAGGACACTGGACGAGATTGTACACATCACACAAAAATGGAGAACATTTTCAACATGCGAATGAATCGATTAGGCACTTAGCACCATACATTAATAGGAGTAAAGTTTCGGACGAAACTTGAAATGGGTTTGTTCACAGAAAAGGGTCACCAATACAGCCAGCCATTTATAATCACTTGTATCTTATCACTGGAGCCGAACCTGGGGGCCTTATTTGATGAAGAAGCTGTACAGATATACACGTCATGCATGTAATGGCAGGATTCTATTCAGAGGAAAATTTGTTTTTGACAAAATACAGGGTTTCAAAGACTTCAAATGTGTGATAATAGCACACCTCAGGTTTCAACTAAATATACAATAAATGAAAACACCATTTTAGTTAAATATTGTGTTTAATCACTATAATTTGAAGGTGCATGTATTGTGGCTTTGAGATGGTACAAGTGTACATGAATTGTTTTGTATGCCAACATAAGGCACAACTGAAAATATGGTTGTGAACGCAACCCGTGGTATTTTTTGAAGGTTTTGTTCAAACATGGACTTCAGACTTTCTAATGAAGCATTAAGTTTTTATGTGACTTAACTCACATGTACACATACATGTGTATGTACTTCACAGAATTTCAACTAAACAACCATGACCCTTTGAGGCGTAACGTTTCAACCCAATATAAAAAAGTATGCTTATTTTACAAAGGTTTGTTAAGGTTGCCGATCATATGCACTGTTTGCCGTTTGCATTCAAGCCTCAAAGAATGCTACTAAATATAGCACAGGGGTTTCTTTGGCTGTCGATATCCCATCATAATGCCAAGAAGTGCGCTGTGCAGACAGAGACA